GGGGGGGGGGGGGGGGGGGGAGACAGGGATTTGAAAACAGTCTTCAAATACCTGAAGGGTGATTATAGAGAGGGTGGGGAGAGACTCTTCTCTGTGGCTAGCACAACAGGCGTTCGTGGGGATGGGTCTTGTAGGCACGATCACAATGAACAGAGCTCATCTTGGCTCACAAACCAGACTACCGCTCGTGAACTAGCCACTTTCAGTGGTCTAATTTACCGTGATAAAAAGACGTCAACATGTATTTTCAGGTGCGACTAACCTAACAAAATGGTGGGTTTTGGTGCAGTTTCGTGGCGCACATCTAAACAACGCGTACCGTGTACAAGTGCCCTTTGAGACCATATGGTAGGAATGATTTTGGGTATGAATACACAAGCAAGTTAGCACGGCATCAGCTAGGGGTGAGCTTGCTCCGCATCCACTGAGGGGTAAGCTGCTGCATGATTATCCTGGGCAGCAGCAGTTATCTCATGCTCTGGGAGTTCACAGCTGGAGGCCACTCGCCCCATCCAGAGTCAAATGAATCCATGCAATGATGGGCTTGGTGCAGCGCTCAGTCAAAATATTCAGCGTCTGCTTCCTTGTATAGAAGTCAGTGGCCGTAACACTCTGCCCTGGGGGCCTCATATGTCAGCACCAGATTCCTCAACAAAGCCGCCTGTTCCTTGCGCCCCCCATCAAGCTGTGCTCCCCCGGGGCCATCTAAACTCCCTGCGTCTTCCCCACCACGTTCGCATGGAGTCATCTTCCACCGTCGCCTGGGCCCAGAGGGAAGGCTGTGGCATATCAGGTTTCCTGATGCATTTTGAGACATCACGTGAGACACTTCTGTCCCCCTGTAAGCTGTTTTGCTGCTAAGGCAACAGTAGGAACAGCCTGCCCGGCTATAGTTAGTTACTATCAAGTGAATTTTACAAGGAGAGGGGAGAAAACCCCCCTCCGAACACTAATAGGCCTCCAGCCTGACGGAACAGAGCCTCCGCTGGAGATGGCAAAGGCATATGAGCACTGTTTCCTCAGCACCAGCTATGCACAAAACAGACACCAACGTTTTGTGCTCCATTATATCAGGGTAAGGCAGGAGAGACTCCACCGATACTATCTGGACTTAAGAGGCCATGAGAGAGATTAGACACCACTTTGCCCTTGTACATTTACAGCAATAACCAAGATCAATCTAGGCAGAGAAGGTCAAAGACTTGTATTTCAGTAGTGTGGAGACCGGGGCCCCATTTTGCTAGGTGCTCTACATACCAAGGGTACATCTAGAATGCAATCAGAGATGCAGTTGCAGATGTGGACATATCAGGTCTAGCCTTAACCTACCTGCGTAGCTTTAATGTGGTAAAGTTACAGCAGCAGACCCCCATGCAAATTAGGGGCTTGAGCACTGGCTTGTACTCATATATTCAGAGCCGTAGTCTGAGACCATCCTTACCCTGAGAAACTTGCAGCCTAAAGAAGCAAAAGGGTGGCAGAAAAAATGATCCCCATTTTACAGATGAGAACGGAGATGCAGAGTACTGAAGGCTGATGTTTTCAGGGGTGCTCAACATCTACCGCTGGAGCTAGATCTTTCAGGGATCCCACTTACTACACAAGCACCAAAGGTGAAATGCTGGGTTTTCCCAAGAGCCCAGCAGGCTGGGTGATTGCATGCTAGGTGCTGGGCCATTTTGAAACCCTGGCCACTGGCTGTCACACTATCCCGAAAAATCAGGCTCTTATTTTGGTTTGCAAAAAGGAAATAATACTGCTTTGAAAATCTGGCCTGTAAGAGACTTGCAAAGATCCCAGAATTAATCTATAGCAGAGCCAACAATCAAAGAAAATAAGGCTTGGAAGGGACCTTGGGAGGTCACATCTAGTCCAACCCCCTGCTCAAAGCAGGATCAGCCCCATCTACATCATCCCAGCCAAGGCTTTGTGTAGTTGGGTCTTAAAAACCTCCAAGGTTGGAGACTGCACCACCTCTCTGGGAGCCTGTTCCAGTGCTTCACCACCCTCCTGGTGAGAAAGTTGAATGGATCTCCCTCTCAGTCCTAGTTATGGACCTCAAGCACAAGGCCATGCCCCTAGGCTGAGAGTTCAGCAAATTTTCCAGCATTCATCTTTCGTCCTTCTATAGCACCTTCCCCCAGGAATCAAAGCCTCCCCTGACTCTTCCAGGATTAACTGCATTTAGAGACGGTGAAACCATAGCATAGACACTTGCCTACAGATGTGGCCAGGCCATGTCTCCTGGCTTGTCGTTACATGCCTGAGCCACGAGACAAACGGGGTGGGCTGGCTGTTGGACTGGGAGGAAAACTGCAACCATTCTGTGGAGCCCACCAGGGCTTGCACTTACCAATGCCTGTCAGGAAGATGCCGGCGTGGTCTACGGGGTGTTCTCCGTTCTCATCATAGTAGTTAACATTTACCTGGAAACACAAAACACAGGCTCCTGAGAGAGATGCCAGGAGGACCAGAGCGTGGCCGGTAACACCCAACAGGGACACAGCGCTAGCTGCCAATTCAGACGTCCCTCTCCAGGATGCATTGGCTTCCTGTCTGCCTTGACTACTTCTGTTTCCCCATCTTGGGCCAACCTGACTGCCTTTGGATGCTGGCCGGTGTCACCAGGTCAGCATGGTAAACTTACTGTGCCAGGCAGCCCTGCCCTCAAGCAGGAACCACGGCTCAGGGCAAGCTGCCTGCTAAACCAGAGGCAGCCAGGATGCGTCCCTGTGATGCCCTGAGCAGGCTAATTAGCACCGTCACACATGAGTACCTCTTAGCCGGCCTGCAGTGCCTCAGAGACATGGCTATGTTAGTTCTGGGTTAGGAGGCAGCTTGACCAGCACAGCACAGAGGCCAGGAGCAGTAAGTCTGTCATGCAGCTGTGCCAACATGTTGCCCTGTATCCCTGCACTGGAGAGCTCTCAATATCAGGCCATGTTATCTTTGCTCTTGCCTTGTCCCTCTCCTCTCTCCAGCACTTCGCTAGGAGGCAAATGATGCCACTGAACTGCAGAGCAGAGGTGGAAGACCCCAAATTCTTGGTGCAACAGGCCTTCCTCTGAAAGAGGGAAGGCAAGCAGAGGCAGGGAGATCTGCAGGCTTGAGGAAGGGCATGGAGGAGATGCCAGGAGCAGCCCACTGTCCGGCATGTCAACGGCGAGAAGAGGTCAAGGGACTGCCCTTGAGGCCACTTCTGTCTGCTCCACTCTTGCACTTAACTATGCCCCCTATTTGCAAACTGCTCCCACACGCCCTGTATTGCAAACCTTGCATATGGGGGAAACAGCAAATCCTAACAAGAGTTGCAACAGCTTCTAAGGAAGCGTCAAACTTTGTTGGCAACCTGACAGGGTGCAGGTCTTGGGCTTTTTTTGTGCTGGATGCTGCATTACTGACCTTAGCCACTGAGCATTCCCATTGAAGAGCATGTCAGATGGAGCCCACCAGTGCCCTCAAATGCACCACGATCAGCTGACCAGTAACCCCGCAGCATCTTCAACCAAGAGACTTTGGGTACATAGCCCTGTTGGCATTGGTGCCATCTTAGCACAGATAAACACGGCATCTGGTGTTCCCTGCATGGTTTCTCCTGGTACCAGTTACAAAACAGCAGGAGGCAAAGAGAAAAACGAGGCCACTTGCAACCATGAGGGGCTGTGAGTCTTTCTTCCTTGACCTCAGCGCAGCAGTCTTCACTGTGATCACAGACTACAGGTTTCTAGCACCTGCATTTAATAAACTGCAGCCGAAGGTACCAGTCAAACTCTGCACCTTGACCAAAAGTGCAGTTAAGCTAGAAAGAAGCTGTCCATTGAGCCCAAACTTACGTCACGTTGGCAACACCAGATTGGATCTTCTGAGTCTGGTGGCAGACGCATGGGAATGGAGCAATCCTACACAAGCATCCTTAACCAGCACTGTGAATTCAGGGCTGAACAGGCCCAGGGGCACCATCCAACTTCCTCTTAGGCATGGGTAGATGTGCTCAGGACACTTTCAATTCCCAAATCCTTCTGGATCTACTCTTCCATTGCTGCTGTGTCTTCTTGTGCACAGGAGGACTAACCCTTGTCCAACTCAAACCATAAGCGATGGGGTCAGAAACTCCCATCAAGGAATGAGAACCAACACCAGCTTGTAGCTATTCATGAAGATGCATCCCCTTATTCCTAGCCTCCCTAACATTTCCAGTTCCTCTGAACATGCCCCATTTCCAAGGAGCGCCCAGGATACCCTGTGCTGCCCCCAGCCTTCCTTTACCTTGTTATCGTTGACTTCTGTGCTGGCTTTGCTCATGCTGAGTCTCAGGGTCGTCCCCCTGTCCAGAGGCCATCGCTTTGCTCCGTTTGCTGGGATCTCCTCCGTTTGGTCATTTGTAACAACCTCCACGCGAACCCCGTCCGTATGCTTCACGCTGAACGACACAGCATTGGCATGGGCCGCTCTGGAATGGAGGGAGGAAAGGGAGGCAGTCAAAAGACTCTTGAGAAAAGAAGCCCCTCTGCACCAACACAGATCCCTTATTAGCAAGGGAAATAACACAGAGGTTATTTCAGCTTCTGGGTACTGCAGAATAACACACTCATCTTCTCCAGATGGTCCCTGATCTGGGTAACCAGGATTGTCCTTCCCTGTCATTAAAAAATCATCCCAAACTCTAGCTCATTAGTATAGGAAATGATGATTGCTTTGATGGCTTTCTGTTGCTTACGTGAGAGGAGCGGTGCATGCAAAGAACTGGAGCTAGCAATTGCGGGGTCTGGGTTCTCTTTCCCACTCACCTACTATCTCCATGTGTGCCTGCAACCTTGAAAGTCACTTTGACTTCCATTTTAAAAACCCTGGAGGTTTTTAAGGCCGGGCTAAACAAAGCTTTGCCTGGGATAATGTAGTTGGGGGCTGGCCCTGCTTTGGACTAGATGTGACCTCCTGAGGTCCCTTCCCACCCTCATTTTCTATGATATTGTGACCAGCAATTTCTCCATCTGCCCCACCTTTGCACAAAACATTTCAAGATCCCCGGTGAAAAGGCACTCAGAAAGTAGCAACTCCCTAATGTAAAGGGATTTGTAACAGTTTGGGGAAAAAACTCCACTACGAAACCTTAATGTCCACTGCTTTTTACTTCTATGCATGTGCATTCAACCACCCCCCATTCCAACAAACTGAGGCACCCATGCAGCTCAGATCCTGAAACCCTAGACAAGTATCATGCATCCTTCTGGACATTTGCATACAGGCTGGAAAAGATAGAGCCTGCCCACATAGCTGAGCTCGGACCCTCTGGATGGAAGATGGAGCTCTGCTCTCATTATTAAAGAGTTTGCTCCAGAAATGGATTAAAATTGGTGCGTCCTGTTACGAATTACACTCTTAAAGCCACGTGCAGTTCACTCTAGGCTGGGGCAATGATCACGCAGAGCAGACACCCAGAATCGGATGTAGAGTCTATTTGCTGCAGCGAGGTGCCTCCAGAGAGGGACTCTGCTTACCAGTTATAATACTATTTTATACCTTGTTAGTACGTCAGCATTAGTTCGTGATTAGCTCGTGCTCATAAGAATACCCAATCATCTATTAACTAAATTACTATTCTATCCAATCAAATGGCACTGTGCGCGTGAACACCGAAGTTTAGCTCTCATGACTGAGATGTTTTATATATTCTTGCCAAGATGTATTTTATCTTACAAAAACAATCCTTGCATGGCTTTTAAGGTTCCTCTGTTGACGAGGTTCCTCTGTTGACCGGATTCAGCTAGTTTCAAAGCTTATCAGTAACACTTTACACAGCACTTCTCCTTTCGCCTGTCTAGTATGTGTTGTGTCCGCTTCTATGTATTGAGATTAAAGGTAAAAGAAATGGCCTTACTTCTATGTTGTAAAATCCACACACAACAGTCCGCTGGTTGCAACGGATTGCAATGCCTACTTCCAAGATTACAGCAGCATCTATAGAGCCCAATCACAACCAGAGCGAGGCTTGGTACAAGTGCAGCAGAGACCGGATGCAAGCACCGTTGCACTCTTTAGTATTTACAAGCTAAATAGACACAGGCAGCAGTCTACAAGCTAGCTCAGGTCCATCTACCCCGCACCGCAGCCACTGCTGGGACTGCAGTGTGGGTAACGCACATCCTCACACTCCTCCTCTGCCTTCCCTCGGACCACAGAAAGGAAGGAGAAGGACCCCCTTCTTCCTCCACTGGCCTGTCCAGCCTAGCTTCTCCCATCTCAGCACTCAAACCAGTGTCACCATTCCCACCAGTGACCCTGCTTGCATATTTTAGTCCTTTGTCTCATCCCCTATCCATCCTGCCTACTCAACTGCAAGCTCTGTGGGGCAGGGGGTTGGCACTGAAGTGTAGTAGCACCAGCAACGGGAAGCAAAAGCAAGCCGATTCATAATGGTCTCCATGTGAAGGGTGCCACTGCACTCCAGGATCTCTTCTACACAGTATGCACACTTCAGGATAAAGTTTTCATCAGCCGCTCACCTCTGCGTGCAGAAACCATGCCTTCCTCAAGCCAGACAAAACCATGACTCCTTCGTGAGGCCCATGCTGGTGCCAGGTTTCAAGTGCCGGCAACTCTTTGCTAGCTGCACCTTTCAAACAATCTAGAAACCAGCCTTTAGGAACTGATGTCTGCCCAGTGCCATCGGGCACAGAGAGACGCACCAAATCTATCAACAACAGATGACAACATGAGCTGTTACGAGGCAATTGCTATGCCCACCTCATTCTGCAGCTATGCAAGTGTAGCAAAAAGCGCTTTAACCACTTCATTCGGGCTCAGAGCGAGCGCAAGTTAGCTCACTTGCATAGTTCCAGGGCCTTGCTGATGTAGCAGATAGGAATCGCCAGCTGTTAACAGAAGCGGATCCTCCTCCCCTTTTAAAGCAGTTCAAAGATATGCTTGTCCTTGCTGCAAGATGGGACCCAGAGGTTAATGTAGCAAGGGGCTAAATATAAGGCTCCATGCAAATATTAATTCAGATGAATCTGCAATTACTTCTCTGTGACTGTATTTCCCCAGTTGGGGATTCCCTGCTGCCGGGAAAGATCCTACCCAGGAAAGTGCAAGCGGTCGCAACAGGGCTGTGGGCACGCCTGCGACTAATCCAGCCAAGTGGATGCTCAATGAAAGATATATCTGCCAGCTCTTGTTACAAGTCATTTGGTGGCTCCCCTGCGCGTGCCCGCATAGCCCGCTGCTCTGGTGAATCTAGGATTGCAGCTGGCCCAAGCTACGCTTCTGTGAAAGACGCGTATTTTGAATAGTGGGGCCTACCAGGGCTCAGGGCAGGAAATCTTTCTAGGAACTCATTTGCACTAGCACTATTCCCAGCCAAAGCATGTTGGCACCTGTTAGCCGCATGAGCCGACACAGGGTCTGGGCTGTTGTCCCTGGCTTTCTCCATCCCCCAAGACACCCTCCGCTTTGCAGCCACCTGGAGATGACACCAAGAGGAAGGAAGAGGGGACATAGCTGCAGAAGCGGCCAAGGCAGAAGCCCATGACCTGGTCCAAGTCAGGAGAAAAACCGAAGTCCTTTATACCATGGGATGACATGGGCCCGATCCTTTCTTCCACTGTCGTCAAAGACAATATGGCCAAAGACTCAGTAGGAGCAGGATCTGCATTGTCCCACAAGTCTACAAGCTCAGTGGTGTGGTTTCAGAGCCAAATTAAGGACCCAGCTCTATCCACTTTGCTGTCAGGCAGATGCTGGCCATTCACTTTACTGCAAAGGAGTCTTGGCTCCAGGGAAGCATGGAGGAGGTCTGTGGGGTCTAAATATTCAAAAGCCCCCCAGCCAGATGGCAAAATTTGGCGAGGCCACATCTCAGCAGACCTCTTGGCATCTCGCAGAGTCCATTGCAGTGTAGTGTGTCCCTGGGGATATAACAGGGGAAGACAGCATAGCACTGCAGTGTCTCCAGCCATTCCCCTCCACAGGGAAGACTCATTAGCGACCGACAACATGACTCTGATGTTACACCCCTGCATCACTCATTCTGCACCAATGCAGTTACCACTGTTACTATGATGGAGATGTTTTATGGCAGGTCAGCCCCTGCCTAGAGAGCAGCTGGCTCAAACTCAGCCTCAGTGACCACGTCTACACTTTACTGCACAGTAGACTAATCTACTATGCAGTAAAAAGTGTCACTGTCTACACATGCAGGCACTTACTGTGCAGTAGTCTACTGCACAGTAAAGCTAAATAGTATTAATTGCACACGTAGGCACACCCAGTAAGGCTGAAAAGATGCTTATTGGAAGGGGAAAGGAGGAAATGCTTTGAGACCCAACCAGGTCATTGTTCTTCCGTGGAAAAAGGCAGAATGTTTCTGAGCCCCGGGATGTCTAGTTGACCCTGGATTGTCAGGTGACATCGCCATTAAAAATGCTTCCCTTCACCTCTGCCTTTCCTCCTCCTGTTGGAAGAGCATCACACCAGACTGATCCACTTCACTCCCCAGATGGAAAACTGTCACACTGCATCAAGTGAGGGTGACAGTCTGGAGAAGTCACCATGAAGAGCTCAGCAGCCCAGTCCCCTCCACTGGCTCCAGGTCTGCTCCAGTTGGGTTGGCCAAGCCCAAGTGCTGTTTTTCAAGACCATCTGATGGGCTGCAATTAGTTGACAGCAGCAATCGCATCAAATCATAGGCTGGAAGGACTCTTTGATGTGCTAGACTCCCAGGGGAGCTGAGTAATGTACTGAAGACTGCAGAGTGCTCAGAGAGTGGAAGGGCTGGAGGGGTCCTTGGGACATCACATCTAGTCCAACCCCCTGCTCAAGGAAGGATCATCCTCACCCGACCCATCCCTTATGAGTGCCAATACCCGTGGCCCACTGGAACATCAGCCCTCTGGGGAAAGCCAGCCCATTGCTCTTTGTGAGCGGCACAGCTACCTCTGGACCAAGCTCCTGGATGAAGGCAGACCACCTCGAGTGTCTCCACACTGAGCCTCTTTTCCCCCAAACCCAGAACTCATATATGCCCCAAGGACCTGTCCCGGCAGACGAGGATAACAGTGCTGCAGCAGCACAGAAAACCTGGCAGATGTTTTGCCCGCTCCTGCAGGAGGTTCTTTTTGGAGCTTGCTGGGCGTATATGTTTCCATCACCATTGGGCCAACCTCACCCTTTTGACCTCCATGGGGAATTTGCCTCTAGGTTCAGGATCAGGATAGCAGCCCCTTGGACTATATGGCCTGATTAGGAATTAATCTCCGAGGTGCTGAGCTACTTTGATTGTTGCCGACCCCACTGGGAGCAGAGATCTCTGCTCCAGTCCAAATCCAGCCCCAAATGGAGGGGGTCATGGACCAAGGAGCTGCATTTAACCACCTGGCACAGAACCACTTCACCCACTCACCACACAGGGTAGGGAGCAGGGACCCTGTGCTGCACCTGGCCTAGGCTATAAAA